GTCCAGTAAAATGTAAGTAAATGTGAGTGAATAGGCGTGTCCAGGATGTTGCAAAGAAATATACATATTAAAAATGTCTCAGGGTGGACGCTCCGATGAAGATGTCAATTTGAAAAGCATGCAGTTTTAACATTTAAAGATGTACAAAATGAAACATGTTATATTTGAAAGTGCTTTGTATGTGGATACACTGTGTTTATATTACGGAGTGGTGGGGTATGTGAGTTTATCTTCAGTGGCTTGTAGCAAAACAAAACTGCACAACAATGTGTGTTAGAATTAAAATAGAAAACACTGGAAACTGATGAAAAACAGAACTCTGTATTTCCAATTACTTCTAATACAGGAACAGTTTGACATTTACAACAATTAGTTTAGCTTAGCATAAAGACTGGAAACAGGAGGAGACAGGCCCTGTCTGAAGAGACATACCCCAGACAAGGAGGTTTTGTTTTTGTCTGCAGGATTATGCAAAAACTGCTGGATGGATTATCACGAAATGTGGTATGGGTCAGGGAAGGAGTCAAAACATTTTGGTGCATATCCGGATGACAGGGTGGATCCAAGAAATCTTTTGTTCACCAACATTGTGAGCGAGGATGTTTTTCAACATTTCCTTTAATTTCAAAGAAAATATTTCTTTGCTCTTGTAACATTTTAGTTCTTCCATGTGTCCAGTCTTTATGCTAAGCTACGCTAACTGGCTGCTGCCAGGATCTAGCTCCATACTAAACAGATAGAACAGACAGATAGGAGCATGGTGGATCATGGGATGTAGCTCTCAGAAAGGAAACATGTGAGCACATTTCCAGAAGCGCTGCACTATGCCTTTAATTTAGTTGATTCATCCATCTGATTCATTCAACCACTGCTCTGCTGTAAATCTACCAGTGAGTCACTTCAACCGTCTTTGATTTCGCATTTTACTTCAAAATCCCAAACAGAATGAGAAGCTGAGTGAGAAAATGAGAACATTGAGTTTCAGGAAATAAAATGAGGGATCAAATGCATGGAAATACATCTACATCCAAAAACCTGCTGTGCTGATCTTCTCACGGGTGAAAACTAAAAAGAATCATCCTCCGGTTGTTGTCTTTCTCATTACAAACGATTCCCCAGCCTCCTCAAACTTCGAAAAACAGACAAGGAAAACATTGGCCCCTCTCCATTCTCTCAGCCCCCCCCAACCCCCTGAATGTCTCTCCTTCCCTGCTCATGTTTAAAATCTCTGAGGAAAATGACTTAACTGCTCCGAACGCAGGCAAACGCGTCTTGTTTCACGAGTGCATGGCATGATTATCACAGCAGTGAGGGAGGCACGCCGCCCAGACACAACCAAGAAGTGATCATCCCACATCCTCACCTCTTCAGAAATGCACAAAACAGAGCCCAGCGAACACACACTCGAATCCTCGTGCATATAAGTAACGCCTAATTGAAACATTATGAGTGACCAGGGAGGCTCTGGACCTGCACTGGTATTCAGCTCCACTTTCCCTGAGAAAACTCAGTTTCTCACACAGACAGGCCATGTCCGTTCCACACACACACACACACACACA